GGTACATCTTATGAATTTCAAATCCGACACACAAACAATATTGAAATCCTTTTTCTCTTGGGTCAAAACACAATTTCAACATGGCATTAAAGCTCTCTGTGCGGATAATGGTAGTGAGTTCCTTTCCATACGTTCCTACCTAGAATCATGTGGCACATTTTTTCAACACTCTTGCCCTTACACACCACAACAAAACGGGGTGGTCGAACGTAAACATAGGCACCTTCTGAATGTTGGTCGTGCTCTTCGGTTTCAAGCCAACTTACCTTTACAATTTTGGGGAGAAAGTATTCAGACTACTTGTTATCTCATCAATCGTCTACCTACACCCTTGCTCTCCCATAAGTCACCATACGAACTTTTGCATAACCCACCACCAACTTATACCCATCTACGTGTTTTTGGATGCCTCAGCTATGTCACCAATATGACACCCACCCATAAGTTTGATGTCCATGCTCGTCGTTGTGTTTTCCTTGGTTATCCTCTTGGCCAAAAGGGTTATAAGGTATATGATCTAGCCACACGAAAATTTTTTACCTCACGAGATGTAATCTTCCATGAGCACATCTTCCCTTACACATCTTCATCACCTATAGACCAAACCGACTCACATGTTGCTCCCATTATTCATCCAACACAAGACATCGACTCCTCACCAAGCCTACTTCAAACGGTGCTTGATTCACCATATGAACCTGTCACTATTGACACCATAGCACCTACCATCATCAATACCCCACATGAATCTGCCACCATGACACCTCCCTCAAGCCTTCCAATGGTACCTGCCACCATCGACATGCCACAAGAACCTATCACTACCTGTTCTTCCTCTTCTCCGCCACCTGCACCACCAACTCCTCACCCAATCTCACTCCGTCACTCCACCCGTCCCACCAAACCACCTGCTCACTTCAAAGATTATGTGGCTCATCACTCCACCTTGCTCACGTCCTCAGAGGCCTCTCTCAGTCCATGTCCAGCACGCGCTACCCACTGCATCGGTATGTTTCCTATTCCTGCTTATCTCTTGGGTATCAACGCTTTGTTTCTCATATTTCACACTTGGTGGAGCCAAATACCTACGAGCAGGCTTGCCAAAATCCCCACTGGGTTGCAGCGATGCATGCAGAACTCACAGCTTTAGAAGAAAATAATACCTGGAATTTTGTTCCTCTTCTGCCCGGCCAAAAACCCATCGGCTGCAAATGGGTTTTCAAACTAAAGTACCAATCTGATGGCACTCTTGAACGCTACAAAGCACGTCTCGTTGCCAAAGGTTTCACCCAACGTGAAGGTATCGACTACAAGGAGACTTTTGCACCAGTAGCCAAACTCATCACTGTGCGTTGCTTCTTGACTGTGGCTGCTGTTCGCAATTGGCCCTTACATCAAATGGATGTCCAAAATGCTTTTTTGCATGGCGAACTTCATGAGGCAGTGTACATGTTGCCGCCTCCGGGTTGTCGTCGACAGGGGGAGAATGTCGTATGTCGACTCCACAAATCTCTGTATGGTCTTAAACAAGCATCTAGAAGTTGGTTTCGAGAATTCTCTAAAGCAATATGTACCATTGGTTTCTGCCAATCCAAGGCAGATTATTCTCTGTTCACTCAAGTCAAAGGTACTTCATTCACTATTGTATTATTATACGTTGACGACATGGTGATTACAGGCAACAATGAGGCAGAAATCAAGAACCTAAAGGCCTTCCTTAGCAGTCAATTTCGAATTAAAGATCTTGGACCTCTGAAATATTTCCTTGGAGTTGAGGTCGCACGATCGAAAGCTGGAGTCACAATCTGTCAACAAAAATATACATTGGACATATTGGAGGAGGCTGGCCTTCTTGGCGCCAAACCCACGAAGGTCCCAATGGAGGCCGATTTGGTCCTAATTCCCGCAGGTAGCACTTCACTACATGAACCTGCGAGGTATAGGCGCTTGGTTGGAAAATTAATTTATTTAACCATCACAAGACCAGAGATAGCATACACTATCAACACGTTAAGTTAGTTCATGCAAGATCCACAACGACATCATCTTGATGCAGTGTATCAACTTCTTCGATACCTCAAATGAGCCCCTGGACAAGGCTTGATGTTCTCTTCCCAAAGTGAATTGAATTTAATTGGTTACTGTGATGCAGATTGGGCACGTTGCCCCATTACCCGTCGATCAGTTACTGGTTATTGTATCTTCCTTGGAAAGTCACTGGTGTCCTGGAAAAGCAAGAAGCAAGTTACAGTAGCCCGTTCCTCAGCTGAAGCGGAGTATCGATCTATGGCTGCAGCTACTTGTGAATTGAGTTGGTTGCGATATTTATTGGTAGATTTACGTGTTGAGCATCCCCAACCGGCAAGGTTATTTTGTGACAACCAAGCGGCTTTACACATAGCTGCAAACCCTGTGTATCACGAACGCACAAAGCATATTGAGATCGATTGCCACACTGTTCGTGAGAGGATCGAAAAGGGAGAAATTAAAACTTCTTATGTCAGAACAGGAGAACAAGTCGCAGACTTGTTTACCAAGCCACTTCGCGCTCCTATTTTTCATACACATCTAGGCAAGTTGGGCGTCATTGACATTCACGCTCCAACTTGAGGGGGATTGTTAAAGGAAAAGAAATCACCCAATCTGTACAAAGTGGACAGCAGGAATGTAGCATGTGGATGCACATTCTGGATAGTTTGGACAGTTGCATGTGGATACCAAAATCCTTGTCAGCAAAGGTTTGCACATGGTGGATACACATCATGGGCGTGTCAGTTACATCATGGGCAGCAAGGATGCCCATTGGTTTTTATATTTAATTATTGCATGCGTGCTATCATTGTATGTATATATAATAGCTGTTTTCATTTGTACAGAAATAAGAAATAGAAGTATTCTTCAATTCCAAATTAATACACATGTCCACCCGTGATTCGCTAGCAGCAGGAGCTGCTGCTAATTTTTCAGCAGCGAAGCTCCGTTCTTTTATATTTAGGTTGCAGGTGATCTTCCCGGTTGGGAATAAAGTTTGGATTTAGGAATTCTAGATGGTTCCAGAAAAATGACAATATTTTCTTAGATTAAAACATTATCTATACTTTGTGATTGAGCCTAAGTTCATGCCAAACCTGTTAGGTCTCTGAAATTTAATGTAGTATAACATATTGGTCGCAGATAATGGAAGCCAGAGCAAAGTGGATGCAGGAGCTACATTGTCAGACTGCATTGGAACATGATCAATTTGGAAGAAACACTTCTTTTTTAAAAGACAGTTCCAATATACTAGATGACGATTGTGCTCCGGTCTCATCATGTAGTGTTTATTACGAGGACAAGATGCTAAGGACGTATCCTTATGAATCAACGATGTCCCCCACGGCTTATGAGACTGAGAAGCACCCAGTTGAGAGTGATGAAGTCCCATTTATTGACAAGTCTGTTATTGAAGAAAAGCCCATCATTAAGAGCGAGGACAAGAATCTAACAGTTGGTCCATCCTCGAAGATGCTAGATAATATCTACGAAGATGATGACGATGATGACTGGCCAGAGGAAGATTCTGAATTAGATGGGTATAGTGTAACGGCTATTCACGCAATCAATGAAGAAGACATATCTTTCAGTGACCTAGAGGACGATGATTTCCTTGCTCCCACAAAAATGAAGACTGTCAAGAAACCTCGAGGAAAGAGAGGCTAACCATCGGCGCGTGCTCTGCTCATCGGATAGAAGATGGCGCTTCAAGTCAACGGATGAACTGGTAGTGGCTAAATGGCTTTCAAAAGTACGCTGTCGTATAGTCCTGTGCGGGGACTCTTCTAAATTCTTGCTGATTGTCCTACTGAGTAGTCCCACGCTGGGACTCAAGCCTCTGGTGGTGATGCTATTTGTTCTAATACCAAATTGTACATGATATGTTGATTTCTTGTGGTCCAAGTTTTTACAGAGAAGTATATGTTTGATTGGTTGTGATACGATTGTAATTACACTGTTGTTCCAGTGATTTAGAGAGAGAGAGAGAGAGAGAGAGAGAGTACAAGGGTCATTTCACCAATGAAATGTCCTGGAAGAAAATATGCAAAGTAGATTCTGTGACCATTGCATCAATACAACAATTTTGTCTTTCTTGTCATATTTTTTTACTATCTCATGAACTTGTTCTCCTCTTCAAGAGAAGGCAAACACAAATAACATTAAGAAGAAAGAAGAACAAATAAAATTAAACATTTATTGACGGACATGTGATTTTTGAATAATGTTAGGTACTAAATTTGTGCATGTGTTGGTTTTATATCAAAACTCTAGCTTAAGTCACTAGTTCCTTAGGAAGCAAGAACTTGAGAAAGAAGAGAATGATCTATTTGGCTGTGTAGCATGATGATTGATGTATCATGTGTGACAATATATGCACCAAGGTAACAAATTTTGGAGCTTAATTGTATATGCAAAGGAAATTGTCTGCAAGTTTGAAACCTCAAACATACAAAATGCCACCACATTGAATCATCTTTCAATCACTACGACCTTCTAATGTGACCCTAGCTTAGGCGTTTACCAGAATTTCTTGTTTTTGTACTCTGTTGTAAAAATGATCTTTCAGTTGAATCACAAACGATCTTATTTCGTTTTTAGTATTTCTCTCAACCTCCATGTAAAATATTGGCCAAAAGTAACAGCGCAAGCTCCCAGGATGTAAAGGGAAGCTTCAACGCTAGATAAAAAATTGCAATTAGTGGGTTTTACTTTTCCACCACAATTAGAAATTAAAAAGACATCTTTCCTCCCTAGTCTTCTTTAATATTTTCACTCGGATAATAACTCAGAAACCAAACCGACACATTAGGGTTACGTGGAGGGAACTCACAAGAGTCATTGTGGAAGCTGAACTTTAAGTAATCCTTGTTTTACGTAAATATAACTCTAAGTGGAACGATAACATAAATCAGTAATTCTAAATCCGAAAAACCCTAGACTCAAAAGTTTCATGTTTCAACCTAAGCATGTCAGACTACTTCCCACCGGAGCTACTCTTCGAAATCCTTGTACTTCTCCCTCCCAAGGATTTGATCCGATGCATGTGTGTTTCCAAAGCTTGGAATGCTTACATCCGCGACGGACGCTTCACCAAAAGGCATCTTCAACGCTCCATCAATACCAACTCCACTCGCACCATTTTATTTAGTCTATGGGGTACCATTTATCCCAAGGATTTCTTTTTGATGGCTCTTTCCGACGACGATTTGTTCAGCACAGCCGTAGAAGTTTGGCAACCGTTGGTTGAACGTCGCGGCTGGAGTGAAATATCGATATTGGGATCCTGTAATGGCGCGGTTTGCATTAAAAGCACTGAAAATGCTGAGATAGCTTTGTGGAATCCTTCCATTCAAAAGTTCAAGAGAATTCCCTTCACACCCTCAGTTTCAAGTCCTCAGTATGGATTCGGATATGATTCGACTAATGATGACTATAAACTTGTGGAAATTGAGAAGATCTCAACTCCGTATTCGGTAGACGTTTCTAAGTGGTCTTGGGAAAACATTTCTAATGGTTCTTGGCCCTATTGTGTTACTTTGACTTATGAAGTGCACGTTTACAGCCTAAAATCCAACTTGTGGAAGAAGATCCAAAGCATGCCTTCCAAAGGCCTTGAACTTGTTTCGAAAATCCAATTTTCCAAAGGTGCTCTAAATTGGGTGATGGCTAATAACAATATGAGCATAATTTTAACTCTTGATCTTGCCACTGAGAAATATGGCGAGTTTTACTCCCCGGTCAACGGCATTTTGGATATCAGCATTGAGCTGGAGGTCTTGGGAGGCTATCTATGTGTTTGTATTCATAACTATAACAACAGCGAATTCGGTATTTGGCTTATGAAGGAATATGGAGCGAGAGAATCTTGGACCTTGCTTTATTCAAGTATTTCTCATATTTGCAATCGTTACAAACCTTTGGTGTTTTCAAAAAATGGTGAAATGGTTCTCGTTCAAAGTGAGTCGCACCCTGGTTTTCGTTGGTTTGATTTAGAGGAAGAGATCGATGAATATACAGAAACCCGTGGTATGCCCCGTCGCAACGGAGAAGCTACTTTTGTAGTGGGGAGCCTTTGTCTTCTTGATGGTGACCCTGTAATTTGTACGAGGGTTTCTCGTGGTGAAAGCAACAGAAGATCAAGACCAGGGTTATCGATATCTGGAGTGAATTTGTGTCTTTTTTTCCTTGTGGTCATAGTATTAATTGGTTTGTTCGTTCTCAGTCTTGGTTTTGAACTCATATTGTACTAGTTTGTCTCGGTTTCTTGTACTCCAAGTTTTTGTTTTTGTTGTGCGGAAGCATCAAATATGAAACCAATAAGCAACAACGGCAAAATATGATAAGACAAATAATCCAAATGACACAAAGATTTATACTGGTTCGGCGTAAGCCTACGTCCAGTTTCGAGACGGCGAGGAAATTCCACTAATATCAAAATGGAGATTACAAATAGAGTTTTAACTCTCAAACTCAAATCCCACATACACCCAATAGCTCTCACTCTCACAAAGAACAAATGGAGAAGATGGAAACGGATAGATAAAATCTAATAACTTTTCTAAATCATAACCAAATGCCTTAATATAAAACAAAAGGCCCCGCCTTCTCTCTCTCCTCTTCTCTCTTTCGGCTGCACTCATCACACAATGCCACATATTCTTTGCCTTTGTAAAAGCCACAAATCAAGGGCTAGACATCATAATGATGTCCCCCTTTTCCTTATTCTATTTTATTAGCCGAAAGGTATTTTGGCTTGTTGTCCACTTGGTCACAAATCCAACAATCTCCACCTTGACCAAGTTCCGAAAGCATCACACAGAGAATCGAATCAACAATCACCATAAGCACCCAAAGTACAAACTAAAGACAACGGAAACTAAATCAAATTCCCCAAACTTACCTGTGCTCATAACAATTTCCACCTCGACTCAAACTGTACCAAAGCCAACGAAAGTGAACATTTCTCTACCATCTTCTCCAGATTTCCAAACCATAAGTGTCTTGACCAAAACAAAAGTGATTCAAACGAAGAATTGAAATTCTTCAATATCGCCAACAAAAGATCAAGCACACCATACCAAAGTTGGACACACAACGAACTCCACCTGCTCACAAACACCATGGTCTTAAACTGCACCAATAGACTCATTCACATAGCATGGCACATTCTCCAAGTCAAAACTGATTACAAATTTGGCAACAAGGTCTTACATACCACATACAAAAAATATGCCTTTCACTCAAGTTTACCATCATCACATGAGCACCAACAGGACAACCAAAATTTCAAATTCAAATAATCAGCAGAAGATCCAAAACCATACCTCAACTGGAGTCTTCAAGAAAACTAATTGCAGATGATGGAGACCAACAGACCAAATAGCAGTGGCAAACAAATCCAACCAAATGTCCATAGACCAAAGTTAGAAAGCATATAACTTGCCTTCTACAAGAGGGTTCCACACAAATGTTCCGCATTAGGTGTCTCCAAAATAGTGTGGTGTCTCACTATCCAAACTTGCAGAACTTAACAAATTGGCCCTCACTGAATTCAACTTTACCAAAAAAAAGCAAAACCATACCAATATCCAAAACAATAAAAACACCGATGAAGAGCAACTGACATAACATAAACATACATAGAGGCTACTAAGCAACTTTCTCAAATCATAACAAAGAATCCTTACAAACTCTTAAATTTCCATATGTAGCAAAGAGATTTAAGAGTACCCACAACACCAGATTCCTTTTTTTTTTTTTTTTTTTTTTTTTAATTTCAAATTTGGTGTAGCCAACTGTCATCATAGAACAAAGTCGAAGTCGTCATCGACGACATTCGCACTCGCACCAGCATTATCTTTCAGTTTTGGGCAATCAACTTTCCAATGCCCTTCCTTGCGACAATAGTTGCATGTGTTGTTTCTGGTCTTAGACTTCGATCTCAAATTTCCTTTATTACTACCTGAACCATATTCCCTATCTCTGCCTCTTGCTATAAAAGCCTCAGAATGAGAATCATTCAAATTTCCAAATACTTTGTTCTTTAACTCTCTTGAATTCAAAGCGGCTTTTACATTCTCCATACAAATAGAATCTCTCACATATAACAAAGTTTCAACAAAATTCGCATACGAAGGAGGTAAAGAACACAACAAAATCAAAGATTGATCCTCATCATCAATTTTATTATCTATACTTTTCAAATCCATAATAACCTTATTAAACTCATCAAGATGGTTTTGAATAGGTGTACCTTCAGTCATACGGAGAGTGTACAAACGTTGCTTCAAATACAAACGATTGGTGAGGGATTTGGTCATGTATATACTCTCCAACTTAAGCCACAAACTAGCTGCAGTAGTTTCATTTTCCATCTCACGAAGAACTTCATCAGATAGTGATAACATAATTGCACTATGTGCTCGATTCAAAGTGTCTTCTTTTTCTTCAGTAGACCAATCTTGTGGCAAGGCCTCCACACCCTGTAGCGCCTTAAGCAACCCTTGTTGAACTAGCACAGCTCCTATCTTAACCCGCCACAGGCTAAAATCATTCCTCCCATTGAATTTTTCAATATCATATTTCACCGACATATTCGAAGGTTTCATAGACATATTAGTACAAAGCCCCAAGTCGAAACCCAGAGCTCTGATACCACTTGTTGTGCGGAAGCGTCAAATATGAAACCAATAAGCAACAACGGCAAATATGATAAGACAAATAATCCAAATGACACAAGGATTTATACTGGTTCGGCGTAAGCCTACGTCCAGTTCCGAGACGGCGAGGAAATTCCACTAATATCAAAATGGAGATTACAAATAGAGTTTTAACTCTCAAACCCAAATCCCACATACACCCAATAGCTCTCATTCTCACAAAGAACAAATGGAGAAGATGGAAACATATACCAAATTCCTTCTCTCCCAAAAGCCACAAAAATGTAGCACAAATATCTTTAATTGAGTGATTACTAACAAAAGGGGATTACAAACAAAATGGGAAGGATAGATAACAGCAACCCTTCTCTTTCTTCTCTCTAATATGCCGTTCCCAACTCTCACTTTTCTAAAGGCATAACCAAATGCCTTAATATAAACAAAAGGCCCCGCCTTCTCTCTCTCCTCTTCTCTCTTTCGGCTGCACTCATCACACAAGGCCACATATTCTTTGCCTTTGTAAAAGCCACAAATCAAGGGCTAGACATCATAATGATGTCCCCCTTTTTCTTATTCTATTTTATTAGCCGAAATGTATTTTGGCTTGTTGTCCACTTAGTCACAAATCCAACAGTTTTATGTCTGGCTAGTCTTCTGGTGTGTGAATCACTGATGGCCTGCTGCAATACATTTTGTAGATTCCAACGCAACTACAAAATAGAAAATTTCCAAGAACTTTTCAAAATTTGAAAGGAAAATGAGAGTTTAGCATATGTAATGCAACTTTAAGAAAACGAAAGACATCTTAGAACATAAATTTGAGTTTCTAAATGATAACGACAAGGTGGTTTACACATCCATGATACTACTTCAGTTTAGATGATAAAATCTATGCGAGAAATGCAACGCGTGAAGGCAATGAACATAAACAAATACCTTCAACTTTTCTTCTTTTTCTTTTGTCCAGTATAATTTCATGCGCCGCCTCCGGCTAGGCAGTGGCAAGTTTGAGCTGCATATTAGGAGAAACAGTTGACTATCAACCGGTAACTGCGTGTTAAAGTTCATAAAATAAGCTCAAAATTGAAAGCATAACGCCCAATCACCTCGTAGGTTGATTTCAAAAAAATTTCGTCTTTTGAGCTTTATGTTTAGGTTGTATCTTTTTTTTTTTTTTTTTTTAGGTTGTATCTCGCCCACTAGAGGAGACCAAGTATCTGAAACTTCCGATTCCCCGGAAGGTGACCAAGTATCTGAAGCATCAGATTCCGAGGAATCAGACAGAACAATGTTAAGACTCTCTGGCGCTTTTTCATGGTTTTTATGCACTACAGGAGACCGTCAGAAAGAAGAATGATGTCACTTGTCTCCCGATGACAATCCATGAACTCTTTGGCTTCATCAGAAATGGTCTTCTGCTCGGATTCATCTGCAGATGCCGGAAACTGTACTTTGACATGAAATTCATGCTCACTGTTACAGTCAGTTCTTTAGGAGAAACATATGGAGGGGCAGCATTTTATGTTCTTCATCTTCCGCTTCATCTTCTTGCCAATACCCGAGCAAAGGAATTGTGTCATGTTCTTGTTTCTAGAGCTTTCGGCAGTGGAAAATCGAATTAGAAGCTGAACTCCAAAAAAGCTTCAAGCTTTTGTAACAAACGCAGTCTCAAACGCATCTCTCATCTCGTGCCACAAGACAACTAGGATGATAAAGTGGAATGGGTCGAGATGTTAGGCTAATTAGTTACGATAAATTTACATTGTACTAGTTAATATACAGCACAAGGCTATCCGGCACGGGTATCCTCAGCCTCCTCCGCCGCCTCAAGTCATGTATCAGCCTCGACCGGCGCCGCCACAATGAAAATCCAATGTTGGTTGTTTGGAAGGATGGTCATTAGCTCTATATCTCAGTTTCTATATTACACTATGGAGTGTCTCTATGCATTCAAAAACATTATTGCTAGTAGTCTACACGACGAGGAGGACTTTCATGAAATGAGTAAGTTAGGAGGGGTTATCTCAAACCAATCATGTAACGCAATATGAGATAGACAACATTTTTTAAGGATTCGTAACTTTATATGAAAAAAATGTAAATATGAATTTGGAACTATGATTTACCAAAAAAAAAAAAAACTTTATTTCATCACTTCTTTCCAATTACTTGACAAAGTTTGGAGGAAATGTCAACCTCTTGATCATGATCAGAGGGTTAAAGTGATATTGCAAGTGCCAAGACTGTTAGGTTTCCTGTCATTACCATTACAATTTAGTAGTCTTTTTCAATATTACGTAAGAAATGTCGGATTTAAATAAATCCATAAAGATCAAATTTGAATAGTCTTTTAGAATTCAAGAACAATTTTAATTGAATTTAGACATAAAATTACAAGAATTATTAAATCATCAGAATGCAGATTTTTTTTTTTTAAAGTTCATTTGAACCCATATAACATCACTCTACACCTATATTAATTTTAATTAAACCATCAATATCTCCTTCTTTTTTTTTAAAACAAACTATCAATATCACTTTAAACTCATATCGATTACTTAATAGTTAATACCCTCGCAAGCTCATACTTGATAGTAATTATACAAGAATAAAAGAATAATTTACTTTTAAAATTTAAATTAAATGAAAAATAATGTTATATATACATTTATTTATTTTTTAAACGATAGATTTTTTTAGACTATATATTAGATTAGTCACCAACAAAGTTCAAAATTTCAATATCATGTAAGTATTCAACTCATTTTCAATACTGTGATAAATGGTCACTTGTAAAAAATAATATTGTATCAGTTCGGCTAAAAATTTCACTTATTTCTTCACCTGTTAGTATAAATATCTCGTGTATAAATATCTCATGAAAAAGAAAAAAAAAGTGAATGCCAAGACAAAATACGGTCAACGCGGTTTTTTTATCGCGGGTAATTGATCCAATCAGCGCACTCTGCCATTTAATTAATCACAATAAAATATTTCTGGCGGGGGCGTCCTGCTGTCTCTCCCTCTCTCTCCTCCGTCACTGTAACGCCAGCCGGCTCCTCTCTCTCTCTCTCCTCTCCCACCAATCGACAATCACTCGGGAAGGTTCGTCTTCTCATCGCCCTCCGTATTTAATTCCCCCAATTAATATCTGATCTGTCCAATTCGTTGGGATTTTCAACTCCAAAACCTTAGGAATTCATCGACCCAAAGCAATCGATATTCAGTACCCAATTCGTAAAATTGTCAGTTCATATCCATTCTCACTTTAAAGATTGAATCTTTACGGCTTCCCTTTTGTGATTTGGGCTCCAATGGAACTTGGGCTCGTCGCTAAGGGCTTGAATTTCTCTCGGAGAAGAAGGCGATGGCTTCTGTTACTCGCAGCACTTGGGGTCTCCGGCTATGGAGCTTATAGGGTTTACAATTTGCCCTCTGTGGCCAGGAAGAGGAAGAGGTTCCTGAAGCTCGTAGGAGCCCTAATTTCTATGGTCGAGATGGTCTCCGATTCGGCCGAGACGATTGGTGTTGTCTGTGGGGATTTGAAGGAGTTTCTGCGTTCTGATTCGGACGAAATGCCCCAAAGTTTAAAGCAGATTTCAAAAATTGCGAGGTCGGAGGAGTTCTCTGTGTCACTGAGTAGGATTACCGAGGCTATGACGGTTGGGATGATTCGAGGGTGTAAATTGGAGATGAAGAATGAGAATGAATCGGGGAAGGGTTTGGAGAATTCGAGCTTTTCGGATAGGGTTTTCGAGAAAGTTTTCTCTACGGCTGGAACCGGGTTCGTTTCGGTTGTGGTTGGAAGCTTTGCTAAGAATTTGGTTATGGGATTTTACTCTGATGAGCAATCGGGTGAGAATTCGAGTGTGTCGAAATCAAGTCCATCAGATGTGCCTAGATGGGTTAATGTTGTTTGCAGTGATAGAAGCAAGGAGCTCATAGCAAATTGCATTCAGGTTTTCGTAAGCACTGCGGTTGCGGTTTACCTTGACAAAACGAAAGATATCAACGTTTATGAAGAAATGTTCGATGGGTTGACCAATCCCAAACATCAGAACAGAGTGAGGGATGTTCTGGTTTCTGTTTGCAATGGTGCTGTGGAAACAGTTGTGAGGACATCTCACCAAGTTTTGACAAGTTCCAGTTCGAGTTCAAGCTCGAATTCGCATGTGTGTTCAATTGTTGATCAGAGTGAAGGTCCAAGTGGAACTATGGATGAGTGCTTGCATCGAGAGGTATCTCCAAAGCAGCTGAAGGAGGGAAGTTCGTTTGATGATATTCAGAATAGTGGATGGGTTAGGAAGGTTTCATCTACATTGGCAGTTCCGTGCAATAGGAGGTTTGTTTTTGATGTGACGGGGAGGGTGACGTTCGAGACAGTTCGATCTCTCGTTGAGTTTATGTTGTGGATGCTATTAGATGGTTTGAAAAGAAGCCTTAGTGCACTTCATGGGGAGGTTGCAGACAGGGGATTGCAAGTCATCACATACTTCAGTGGAAAGTCTTCGGTTATAGTTACTGTATGTCTTGCTTTGCATTTGTATGTCTTGGGTGGTACAAGAGTTCTCTTGACTGCTTAATTTGATGGGTTTATCCCTCCCTTGTAAGACGCTCCTATCAGTCAGATATGACTCCCTTTGAGGAAGGTTGTGTATGTATATCTTTGTCACTTAATTGAAAAGGGAAAAAAAGGGGTTCATATCCATGATGATGCATGCTTTAAATCAGGAAATTTTATTCCTTTTTTGTTTTTTAAAATTTTAATTTTGGAATCCTTGAGTGATTGCCGCTATACATATCTGAATTTTGGAATCCCTTCTTTCGATTTGGAGGAATCATTGTTTATGTTCTTGGAGTTAAATCGAATAGACGGTAATGATTCTGCTGTTTAAACGTTCATGATATGTACCGCGTTCTTAATTTGCCAGATTCTGATTTTGGTATCATCTTTCTGTAAAACTATTCTCTGTTTCAACTGTATTCTTTTTGAAGCATTAGGTAGGGTGATGAATATGAGCAGATTCTGGTTTACATCTTACTGCTTTGGTTCATGTTGGTTAATTGTAGACTGTCTGCGTTGTTCTCCAAGAGCGGAGGCAACTTTTGAAGTAGGTCACGATACGATGCGTAGTCAGCTGAGATAATCCGTTCTTTTGTATTCTGGTTAGACTTTCTATTCGTTTCAACATTTTAAGAAATCCAGGGGCCGGGTGGATTTGATCTTTCTCCATTTCTCGTGTGTCCAATGAATGTTTCTGTTGTAACGATCAGTCGCGTTTTGTTAATACTACCCATAGAATTGACTGTAGCGTCCAATGGATCATAGTGCCCCTTTCAGGTGTCTACCATAGCAAGAGTTTGGAGCTAGTGATGCTCACTATTCCCATGGTTCATATGTTCCGTCACTTCTGGTCACGTGATAAGAGAGAGTCGTAGTTGTATACAACTGATGACACTCGAGACTCTATCTAGACGCTGAATGAGAGGATTGCAGATCGATTACGGGCTTATCATCTTTGTGAGGTCAGACCAGATGCATGCACGTACAAGATGGAATTCTGATGTCAACTGGTGGTGGTTGTGCTTTTTTTTTTATAGGAATGATAGTGAGTTTCATTACTAAGAATAACCAAATACAAGAGGTGCCAGATGGGTACAATTTCTTCAGTGATTAATTTCTTGATTTGAAGATAGTTTGCACAAGATGCAAGGATTTTAAACCCTTATACGGCTATCACAATAAACCAACACAAACATAAGTCTCATGTAAAACTGTCACAAAGACGGTAGACACGACAATCCTAACACCAATACCATGACATAAAGCTGTCAACAACAAAGCCACATAAATTGCATAAGTAACACAATCAGATCACAAGAGCAACAAAAAATCTAATAATCTAACCCGCTCAAAGCGCTACGAAACAAATACTTAAAACTTAACTAAAGCCGATGACTTGTCCACATGGAAGACATGAGTACAAACGTTGCAGAAGGTGTGGGCTGCAGGATCGCGTGGGTGTGTGGGTAGCAAGGACAACAGAGGTTGCAGATCCCACGACACGACAGAGCCACCGTGGACATGGCCGTCCCCGCCAACTAGTGGTGGTGGTTAAAAATGCATTCGTTAATCTAAAATTTTCCAAAGATGACACATTAATTTTTAATTCAACTCCATTTGGGGTTTGGCAATCCTCACAGCCGTGTTTGACACTCTGCTAATATTGTGTTTCAAAATTTTAATTACCACAATGTAATCATGTGCTATGAATATTGTGGTGTTAGTAGTTGATTTCATTGACAGAGTTTTGTCATTTTATTCTTATTTAATGAAGATTTTTTACGGAATGTGTCAATGAGCAAAATGATTGATGATGGACAAACTCATGACTAATTCTATCGATTTCAAATCTCAGAGGCCAAAGTAATGAGTTATATAAATTTCAAGAACCATTTTAAATAAAAAGTCTTGAATAAATAAATAAAAAGAAAACTAATGAAAAGGGCTTGAAAACTGAGTTTTAATGATAAGGACAAAATAAAGGGTAAAGTGAATAGTACCAAGATTGACTTTTTAGTGTAAAAATATGGTTTTTCGTTAAAATGAACAGTACCGGAAACTTTTCGTTAAAATTCCCTAAATAAAATTAATGGATAGACAAAAAATTTCCGAAGAATAAAACAAAAGTGTGAAAATCACTACCCTATGATATTATATGGACTCCAGATTCGTCAAGCTGCTTTGGTTTGTGGGTTTAAGCATTTTCCATCTACATCCTTTACAAATGAGGACAACAAATAATTTCTTTTATTAAAGATAGATTGACTGTTATTAGCAAAATAGTCATCATGTTCTTTTTTTATAATTAACTTTTTTAATTAGAAAGATTGCAGAATGATTTCTTAGATGTCACTCCAACAACATTTAACTTCCAACGGAAACCATGGAAAAGATAAGAAACCTGCCCCAAAAGTCCACACTACTTGACTTTGAGTTTAAATTCGTACAAGAAGCTCATGACTCATCGTTTTTACTTTTACCAACAAAATGGCAACCAATTTCTTGTTGCCAAACACATAATCTGGTTAGTTTTATTATTATTGTTGTTGACAATAGCGTGGCGGTAAAGTAATCATACTCCCACATATAGTGATTTACCCTCTCAAAGCGATTAGCAGAAACCTTAACGCTCGTTTGCCCTTCCGACGCGCCATCCAAATTTGATTAAAAAAAATTTAAGGCACGACGAGAGGGACATGAAGCCAAACTCTACGAAAGACACAAAATATTATTTAGACAAACTAATTAATCCTAATTAAATCCATGATCTTTCTTGGCGAACAAAGATTGAGTTAATGAAATATGGGAAATCTGCAGATAAGATTGCTATTATTTAGTATGAACATATAGATGCTTTATTATTGCATGGCTTTTCACAACAACAACAAAACAAAACAAAAAAAAAAAAAAAAAAAGAAGAAAGAGTTATAATTTTAATTGGTTACACGAGTTCAAGGCTTGTGCTTCTGGGTGTATATATAATCCAAATGAGCCGCCAGCGTCCTCCTCATCAGGCACTCCTCCTTCTCTACTCCTTGGCAGCTCCCGCCTTCCTCCGCTGCAGCGATCTTTGCTTCTATGTCCTGCTGCACATATTTATTCAACAAATTACAACATAAACAAAACAAAAGGTTAAGATAACAAATATTTAATGAAAGAAAAGTGACATTTCAGTTTTTAGTTATTACTTGCCAGTTTTAAAAAAACTTAAGATCGAAAACTAAAATAAAACAAAATTTGAAAACCCACAAAAACAACTTTCATTTTTCAGTTCTTTGAAGGAAAAAATGTGAAAATGAAATGGTTATTAGACTACCCTAAAACAAAACAATTAAAACCACTTACTTGGTGTTGGATTTTGAGAGTGTTGTTGGTAAAAGCAGCAGGGACTGGACGAGCAGCGAAGGTTGTGAGTTGAAGGTTGAGGAGGAGAGCTACGGTGAAGAAGGTGATAATATGCTTCGCCATTTCTTTTTTTCTTTTTTCTTTTTTTTGTTCTGAATATCTGTTAAATGTGAAAGAAACTAAAGTGGAGAATTTATAGTGGGGGTTTTTGGAAATCCTTTTTGTGAGGATTATGGGAATCCTCAAATCGTGTCTGTTCATCGTACATCGTGCGATCAGTAATCATTTTAAATATTTTTATTTTAAATTAAATATAAATAGTATATGATAAAAACTGATCGCATGAAATACGATGAACGGACACGATTTAAGGATCCCTCCAGAGAGGATCTGGGGTTTTTGTTTGGTTGTTTTGCATGCCCAATTGGATACTTACTCGTTGACAGCATTTGACTTGAGCAGGTGCATCGGCTTTCGGGAAGATAGACTTATACTGTAATGCTAGGAAGGTTATCAATCACATTGCCTTTTATTTGTTTATTATATAAGTCTAGCAAAATGTAGCTCAGTTTCTAGACGTTTTGTCAATTTTGTTTATTTGTTTTTTGTTTCACAAGTTATCTTTCGTCTTTGATGTTCAACTTACATAGTAGTAAGGTCATCTCTAATCAATGGCCATGGTCTAAAATATTCATAATATCCTAATATTTTCATCGAAATTTTCATGTTTTTGGACAACCGATATTTCCGATATCATCGATATTTTAGACCTTGCTAAGTCACTCATGTATCTTACCATGCAATGTATAAAGTGTAAAATATTGTACTAATTTATTATATATAAATGATTATGGTGTGCTTAAACTTCTTTCATTAATTATTACATATTTTCTACACTCACAATGTTTGCCAGCTCGATATATAATCAACTTAAATCAGTTATATCTATCATGCAATGCATTTCCTTCCAATTTTTTTGTGATAAACTAATAGATAATTGACTAAATAAACATCATGCAAAGTTTCAATAAAAATTTTCAAGGTTTTCTTACAATTTTCGTGGTTTTTATTCAATTTTTATCGATATCGATAATATCTCGATATTTCCATCGAAATTTCCGTGTTTTTGGACTACCGATATTTCCGATATCATCGATATTTTATACCTTGCCAATGGCTGATCAGATGACTCGTTTGAGTCTTCTGGTCTTTCAAGATTCTCCAAGATATTAATATTTTAATGAACAGTACATGACCATAATTGCCTCCGTCTCCAACTAAGGGCCAAAGGGCCAGAGGGCCAGAGTGCTCGTTTTAGCCCTGTCACAAAAAACTGTCTCTAACCGAGGGTCAAACAGCCATAGGGCTAATCATAATTTATTATTTAAAAACTATAACTTAAATTCAAATCCAACGGCTAAATGTTTTTAAAAATGTTGTTTAAGTTTCATGTTGTATAATTTTTATGTTGGTTAATGTTGGTTAATGTTGTTTCATGTTACTTAATTTAATTTAATGTTGTATAATGGCTTAGGAAGTTATAGGAAAAAAAAAAATTTTAAAAAAATATGAAACAAATTTTGTGAAATAGAAGTTATAGGAAAAAAATGGAATTTAAAAAAAAATATGAAACAAATTTTGTAAGTTATAGAGGGCCAGAGGGCTGTACTGTACTGTTCATTAAAATATTAATATCTTGGAGGATCTTGGAGAGCCAGAGGGCTAAAACGAGTCATCTGGCTAGCCATCAGTTGGAGATGGCTTAACGACCTCTAATTAAGGATTTGATACATATTTCCTAATGGTTATACTTTTGCATAATATGCTTGGTTCTTTGTGTTTTATAGATACCTTTGCTTTGTTTTTCACTCAACTGCCAAAGTTCAATTCCTTCATACAAGTTTTCTTATCTTCAATTCCTTCTAGGCAATGCAATTGAACATTTCCTCCATTTGTCAGGTTCTTCTTCTGGAAGATTTGTCTGGGTTTAAAATCACATTATTTTTAGAGGTATGTAATCACCAAATCCGGCCTTTTTTTCTTCTCCTTTGACACATTTGTTGGCATAGCCATTTTCAAACTTTGGTTATAATTTGGTCTCTATGCCTACACAATGATTCAATGTGGTACACACTCTTAAGCCGATTATAATTTCAGTCTTCTACTGGTGATTTTGTTTTTTCTGTTACAAATTCTTTGATACTGTGTTGTTTTTGGTAATTCAAAGCAATATCATACGGTATGCTAGAAGTTTCATGATTCGTGGAAATTGAATCTTATACGTTTGGTGAACAAACACGATGTAAGAATTGTTCTTTGTCGACAGACAATGTGTAACTTGATACTTTTACTACAGTATTGATTCATTTCCCTTGTGATATATGTGAAACAAATATGATTCCTAAGTTATAAGCAAGAATTTGATGATATACTATAAGCTTCAATCCATTCATTCTCTGTGGCGTCAGTGCCTTTCTTGGTTGCAGGCCATGTAGGAGAGGAAGGATGCGAATCACTGAATCTTGCACTCAAAGCAAAACCACAAGAGGCCCAAAGGTTAGCAAGATTAGTAAGGAAATGCAGCTATTGGTCTCGTATTTACATCTATGCTAACTAGGAATAAAATTTGAATATTTAAACAGTTTATTCTTTGTTTTTACAGGAAATGCAACTGATTACTTGTTGGCAGCAACGTGCGTGCTGATTTGGGTCTAGATGCTAGTTGTTTTTCTGATAAAATATCTACTAATTTGTTACCCTGTTGTAGACGTTGTGTTTGATGATAACTAGAATAATGTAAAACTTCTTGTTTTGTGAAATACAATATTTTAGAGTTTGTTTGGATGTACTTTTAAAATGTCTGAAAATGCTTTTGGTTAAATTGATTTTGAGTTTCAAAAGCACTTTAAATGCTTTTTGGAAGAAGCACCAGATATGTGTTTCTTACAAGAAGCACTTAAAGTGCATTTTCTAGGATTTACTTGAATTTTTACTAAGAATTGGTGTCAAAAACATTTTCACAAAAAGTGTTTTCAGTCATTTTAAAAGCATATTCAAACGAACACTTAATGTCTTTGACTATATTTTTGTCCTTAAAACTGCACATAAAGATGGAATGGCATATGTGACTGATAGATTGGAAGATATCAAGTGGTGGACTTTCAATCACAGTCGTTAGTTTCTAGTTGTTAGCATTTGTTTTTTAGTCAGATGCAATTGCGACTAAAAGAGCTTTAATTAAGAAGGCTGATGAGACTAAAATTACCATAAGATATTCAGTCATGAGGAGTGCTTGAGACTAAATAATTACTATGCAATTGTGACTAAAAGAGCTTTAATTAAGAAGGCTGATGAGACTAAATTACCATAAGATATTCAGTCATGAGGAGTGCTTGAGACTAAATAATTACTAGTCATTATAAGCGTTGACACAAAAAATAGATATGTTGTAACTAAAAGGATGTTGTGACTAAAAGTGAGGATAGTTTAATTTTCTAGTAATAAGATGTGTTGTGACTAATACATGTTTAATCAACCAGTGTGTGTTTTTGGTGATGACTAAGTCAATTAGTCATGGGGTTTTTGGTAATGACCAATGTTTGAGTTATAAGGTGATTCGAACTTGAGAGTTTATAATGTTAATGATGGAATAATCCTTGGATTAAAGTGATATGCCATGTGATCACGTAGAAAGTACAGTGTCAGTGCGATTCTTCCCAAACTAGGGACTTGGCTAGAGGAACAAAACACAAGGAAGTCCCTGTAAAATTATTCAGGTCGATGGGCTAAGCGTCCATTCCAATAATATTGATATTGTCCCCATTTAACCACCTGCACAATTCTCAGGTGTGAAGTTTTATCACAAAAGATCTCGGTATTAGTTAGAGTGAGATTATGATATTTAAACTATTACTTTTCTTTTTGTATGATCGATGTGGGATTCAACAGTCCCTTCCACAACTCTAAATTTGGATATGCAGACTGCAGAAAATATGTCAAAATTCTCACAATCTTTCTAAAGCTCCTGAAAGCATGAAAATCACAACCAAGAATCTTCTAAAAATAGGCCTTGAAGGGGTAATGTTATCCACACATTCTTGTGCACCCCATACACAACTTGTTACTTTCTATCATTTGATATTCAACAATTTTTGTTTCAATAACCAAAAATTGAGAAGAGTGTGTAAAAAATAAAAAATAAATTAAAAGAAATGCGAGAAAGATAAAAAAATATGTGTAGATGGTACCATTTGTATTGAAATTGTCATCAACTAATCATGACAGATTTGCCATTCTGATTTCTGATCAGACCTCGCTTCTCTGCCCTCTCACTTCTCATACACTCTCATCCTCTCCTATTTGTGCGGTCACGGTTAAGCCACGTCAACATTTTATATTTTTTTTTGTCTTATTATCTCTATAAAAAAATCAATATAAAATGTTGACGTGGCTTAACCGTGACCGCACAAAATAGAAGATGATGAGAATGTATGAGAAGTGAGAGGGCAGAGAAGCCGGATCCTTTCTGATCAATCGGGAAAGTGGGGATATTTCAGCATGACATATATATTTGGTCACTTCCTCGAACAATAAAACCAAGATTTTTACATGTACTTTGGGAATGATTGGTTAGGAAAATTTTGGTCACATCACTTAACAAACAACATTGCAGTGTAAAGAATGGGCTTAAATTCAAAAAACTGTGTGAAATGTAACTTTCAGGGCTGCTAAAATTGGGCCTTCATAGAGGAAGAGAAGTGAATTGTATAAAGAGACCTTCAACTCGAGAAAACCTACCATGTTACTAGTTGTAAACGATTACACATGTTTACTTTGTTTGTTATAATAATTATGTATTGAAAGAGATAGATACATAATTGTATACAACCGGTGACATTCAAAAATATTTTGTTGGACTTGACTAAACTATTTAATGATAAGTGCTCAAAGAGATAAACACATTATTATATAGAAATGATGACATCAAAAATCGGACAGAGATCCCAGCCAGATCTCCCCCACCAAATCCTAAGGATCTAGACCCTTGAAATATGATCCAACGGCTACAATTATTATCATTTTTAGAAGGGCCCCCTATTTGTAGCCGTTTGATCAAATTTCAATGGTCCGGATCTTCAGATCCTTAGGATTTGGTAGGATGAGATCCAGCTGGGATCTCTATCCTCAAAAATCTATCTTTGGACTGTGCTAGACTGTTTAGTGGTACCTATTCATGCACACATACATCAATTTCTAATTTTACTTGCAAATAGTACTTTATCGCAGTGGCGAAAAAACAATAATATTTATGCACTCTATTGTAGGTATAATATGCTGTCAATATATATCTATATTTTTCATAATATTTAATAATTTAACTCACTAACGCTATAGCTTGTAAAAAAAATCTAGTTATTATTATTTGTTCAATCACGAGCTAATAAGAAATCTTCTAATTGCTGGAGCAATTCTATTGTGCAAAGCAATTTTACCATGCATCTGTTTGGTCTATCAAGGAAACATTTTCAATCAATGACTCTCTCTCTCTCTCTCTCTCTCTCTCTCTCTCTCTCTCTCTCTCTCTCTCCAGCATGCGCGCGCACATACGTACCCAACTCATACCTCGAAAGTTAACTTTTTTTAGGGTTTGTCTTATAAGAAAATAAATCTTTCTATATTAAAGAAATGTCTTTGATCGATCTCCTTCTAGCTAGCTCAGTAACGGATATGATGAAACGCACTCAAGTCTCATCATTATCGTCCTCCGTTCTTTAATATATTCTCAGCCTCCTCCTTATTAATTCCTATCCTGTATATATATATATATATATATCAAGCATATTCATTATTATTTTATACTAAATATGCTTTACTTTTCCTATGATGTTCTCTAGAGTATAGTTACTATATAAATAAATGCTTGGAAAATTTCTAAAGAAGACTTGGGCATGGTCGGTAAACTAGCTAGAGTGGTGTGAGAACTTAATCTTTGATAGCGTTTTTCTGGACTAATGTAACACACACTGCAGACACGCACACTAGGTCAAGTAATTGTTTCCCTCTTAAATAGTTTACTGGTACTTTTGTTCTTCAAATCGAATGATGCCATTCATAAAAGGTAGTCAACAATATATTCTCATTAATTATTAGCAATTAGCTTGTAAGTAACCAATAATACTAGTGTTGTTTAACTTACTAATGAAGGAAGATCACATCATATGATTTGGTATGATTATTCATGGATTAACCATAATTGATGTTTTCGTCCCAAGTCTGTAATTTTAACTTCATTTATTTTTTATGGTATTTTTGCAGTAGTCGTAGACAGCCAACAAGCCAGAAAAAGATAGTAACGCGAATCAAAATAGCAAACGTCACATGATTAAACTATTTAATTTAAAGTTCGACATAAAAAAAAAAATTCTATTTAATCTAAAGTAGTACAAATTCGTAATTCTGTAACTTTGAAAGGGCATATGTTGGAATTTAGCATATAATCATTCACGAACCTAACAAAGGTCCCTTAAGAAAATGCTTAAAGCCTAGCTTTCTCAACATCTCTCTCACAATGTGGCTAGCTACCAAAACTTAATTCAACCTCCAACTCCATGGCCACCACATGCTCCAGCTTCTTCAGTTTCCGGTCAAGTAGTTCTTCCAGCGAGCCCAAGGTCCGGTCATCATCGAGCCAAGGCTCATCACACGGGTGTGGCAAGGTTGATGGGGTGGGTATGTGGTTCATTCACAGTGTCAGTTCTGCTTTCTTCGCATCCTTAGAGAGGTGCTCTTGCATCCGTATCGTCACTCAAGAAGACGGCGATGACTGTAACGACTTGCCGTTGATTTTTAACGACGGGAATTTCCGGCATGATGTTGCTGATCACTCCACCACCAGGAGAAGAACAGGCAAAGGAAAGAAGTGTACGTACTAGTACTACTGGACCAGCACCATGTTGACCGATTGAGGACTAAGTTATCTCATCCATTATATATGTAAGAAGCAGATCAAATGTTCTCTATCTCTATCTCTTCTCTTTTGGTAAGTGAAATCAAATGTGGTGTCTTTGATTTACAGTTGTGAAAGTTTGCTGGTTATGGTTTTGGGATTAAAGACTGGAAATTAATGGTGCTAATCATATTTTAATTATTTACTGGTTTTGAATTATGTGATGAATATCTGCATATATGTGATCAAATTTTGGACTGTTAATTTTATACAAATTGTTAATTTAGTCGTAGAATATGCTGTTTTTTGTTGACCTAGCCTGCTGCCAAGGTTCAAGCCTGCAGGAACCTTGAAATTGTCGTTTTAATTTACTTTAAATGAATTTTAGGATTTCCTAATTATTATTAAAATTCATGGCAAAAAGAAATGTACAAGAAAGCAAAGCCAAGAAGAAAGCAAAGCCACTTTAAGCGCTAATTTCTCCATGATTTTGAATATGCTGTCATTTCATTTATAATCATGTTGTTTCATTGCCCCAAGTTTTTCTTTTTTACTTTTTTGTTCCCTCTTTTCCCCTTGAGCATGTACAATATATCAAGACCAAGGAATCCAAAGCATGGGAGATTTATAACTATCTACAGTTCTACATGTTTCGGAGTATCTTATGTTAGAGTCTTTAGTTGTTAAATCTTTGGTCAAGAATATATCCACTAATTAATAATTAACTGCGAAAAATTGTGATTTATTTGAAATTCGAACATAGCAAAAAATTTCACAGAATGGTAACAACTAACAAGATAGTTTGTCCAGTACACCTAAGAAGAGTTGCTCCACCTTAGTTCTTCCAATAGCTACATAAAAAATGCCTATATACCTTTAACAAGTTAAATGCAGTAGTAAACAAAGAATATTAAGCAAAGACAATTACCCAATTTCTTTTTTATGGTGAAGGGTCACGTCTAACAACATCATTAGTGTCGCTAATTGTTTTTTTTTTTAAGTGCCAAGTTGATCATCTCAATCCATTATACTCTTCTTTCTTGGTGCCACTATCTAAGCATCAGAGCTACAAAGGGCACTTTCATTTCTATGCGGCTTACGTCTAGGATTGTGGGGATTTTGGGGTGTCGCGAATTGTAAATTTTTTGTATAACTATCAAATTTATTTATTTGATCCGAATATATTCGTATCCCAAACAGAGACCAAGCCACTAAATTAATAGGTTTATTTTTAGCTATGACACATGTATTCTTCATCAAATTTCACTTTATTCTCTAAACTTTATATTATTTCACTTTACCACTTGAGGTCTTGAACTCTTCATTCGTGTACCATTTTATGCCTTACACACTATATCGTCTCACTTTAACACATGTACTCTTCCTTAATTTCCCACTTTACCCTTTTCATCAAATAAGTTAAGAGAGACGTTAATTGTTTGACGTGGCATGGACAATTTACTCTTTTCAACTACGTTTGTTGTATGGCATGTAACATGTCATGTTAGTGGAGCGTACCCATGGGTAATGGGAGGTGGGTTAAACTCAAACTATGGTTTGATTTATCCAGATCAAGAGAAAAATATAAGAAAAAAGGTTGATAACCAAGAGAAGCTTGAATTTCAAGATTCACGAATCAATTTCAATGTTTTCGAATTCTTTTGCAAAGATCTTAGGGAGAATATGTACCTCTATGGTTCTCCTCTTGTTTATATATATTTTTTTAATCTGGACAAATCAAACCCTAGTTTGAGTTAACCCACATCTCTGCAATCCTGGGTCTTACTAACAAGGTTGAAATGATTAAATTGTTTATACCACGTTAGCACAATTAACAATTCTTTTAAACTTAATTAACAAAATAAGATAAAATAGGACATTGAAAAAGAATGCATCTCTAAAATGAGACAATATAGTGTAGAAGATAAAGTACGACGCAGAAGAAGAGTGCATGTGATAAAGCGAATCAATATATAGCATGAAATCAAACAAATTCTAAGGTTTGATGAGCTGAAGAGGTGGTTCTACCTTCTGCGACACACATAAGCTGAGCCCACGTATCGAAAAAAAGATCTTAGTGTGTGAGAGAAGGGTCACATCCAACTGGTTGTACAGAAGAACATGTCGTCGAATTGAGAGGACTCATAAAAGGTTTTAGGCCATAAAATTATGATATTTTTCTTTTGATGGAAAAAATTATAGAAAAATTATTGAAAAATATTTGAAAATTTTGAATTTTAACGATAAGGATAAAATAAAAAATATCATAATTAATTTTTTAATATAAAAATATAATTTTTTTATTAAAATAAACAGCACCAGGAACTTTTCATTAAAGTTCCAAAAAACTTATGTATTTAAGTGCGAGGAATACTCTATGGCTATAATAACAAGAAAACTATAGATAGTTGAGATTGGTTTTATGCCACTAAGAGCATATTTAACGAAGGATTTTCAGCCTAGGCTAGACAAATATCTAGCCCTAATTGCAAAGAAAGCTTTCCGGCGCATCCAATCAGCCATACCCGTGGAGTTGTGAGGCCAAACTAGACCTAACTCTGGCTCAAGACTCTTTTAAGGAGTTTGGGACAAAAATAGTAGCCAATGAAAATCATCCACCTAACACATTTTAGCTCTAGCCCTATCTCCCATGGACCTTGACCTTACCATTAGCCATGTTCTAAACCCTTCATAAAAAGTCCGTACTGGATTCGAATTTTCTGGCCCAAAGTTAATCAGTCCAATTCATAACAACCAGGCCCAAAAAGATTGTGGCAAAAAAAGGGGAAAAAAAAACAATCGCCGTTGCCGGGGATCGAACCCGGGTCACCCGCGTGACAGGCGGGAATACTTACCACTATACTACAACGACCTTGATGTTAGTGTTCCACGTAAGATTATACATATATTATAAATTATAAGAAACTTGAAATTACTCAAGTCCGAAGTGACGCGAGTCGTCCCTGTCAGACTGTCAGGTGGAACACAACGAAACACTTACAGAGAGCGGCAGCAGATCACCGAATGAACTCACCATAACTCGTGATCACCATAACCACCACCTCCTACATTCCTTCACCAATTTCTCCAATCACCCCTCATAAAACCAAACCAAAGAAGCAAAATCAAATGCTTCCAATCGAAATGCTCGGACATGGAGAAGACACCCCCTCCAGGTAAAACCCACGTCTTCAAATTTTCTATATTCTGTTTGTTTCTCGGGAAAATGAGTTGGATTGGAGTTTCTCATGGTAAAGTTTTGTTCTTTTTCTTTTGGGTAGATTCGAATTGCTGAGTATGGTGAAGAAGCACTCGAGCTTATTGGGGAAAACAGTGATCGTCGCGGACGAGGACGACACTTCCGATGTCGAATTGGACCACAGATTCTGGCACGACGTGTTGGATTTTTACTTCGTTCGCGGTAAAGATTCCAGAGGACGCCAGGACGATGATCTCGTCTTCTTCGTCAGAAAATTGGTACCTTTTTATTTATTTGTTTCTATTTTTGCTTAAATATTGATATTTTTATAGCTTCATTTGTTATATTATTGCATTTTTTGGGAGCCGAGCAGATCTCTTATGGGTATGGATTCAGTGACGGCAAGGAAGGTGTTTCTCCGTACTTTGTACGCAGGTGGGCACCTAAGGTAATAAAAAAAAGGGTTTTGAAATCGATTTTTCGGGTTTTTGTGTTGTCATATTTAAGATATTGTTGATGGAATGGAATTCATAAATGTGTTTAATTTTTTCAAACAGTTGGATGACTTGATCGGGGAAAGTAATGTGGATGTGGATTGGAGGCGTACGTTTTACTTGAACTTGATTGCTCACACTTCTTTTACTGTAACAGTGGCTATTTGCAGGTAATTTGTTCTTGTGTTTAGTGTTTGTGTGCATAATGTTTTAATAATGTTTCAGTTCTGTAAGTTGCACACCGCCTTTTCTTATTAAGCGTGTTTCTGTGTTGTTAATTAAGTACGGAGATTTAGTTTAGATGTTTAGCGATCATAATTTTGCGGTTCAGTTATCCCGGAATCTTAGAAAAAAAAGGGAACAATGATTTTACTTAAAAAAATATTTTGCAGACTTCTATCCGAATAGTGCTTTAGTTTTCACTTGAGCAATGGTAGAAGTTAAATTAACTGTTGAAATTCAGTCATCAGGACCTCCGGAATCATCAAGCACAGCAAGGTATACCATTATCTCCAATATATAAGGTATGCACAACCTTAAATTTCTGTGTTAATGTATGTCTTACCAATCTTCTTCTTTCTGTATTTATTACAGGAAAATTGCAATACAGTTTGCACACTGTGCATATCTCTGGTTGCAGTCTCAGTTTTCCTTACGACTTGTGGTATCTCTGCAGGTTGTAAAGACTGTTTATGCATCTCCAAGCCGTGTCAATTTTCAGTTGGACTCAAAAAAGGCAAGTTTAGGTACTTTCTGATAAAACGTGATGTCACTGAATCATGTTATTGCTTCCCCTTAATATAAAACTATCGCTGACATTTTCTAGGAAGTGGAGACAACACCTGCTTATCCAGATATTTGTTTTGCAATCGATGACTTCGACTCCACTTTTGATGCTGTGGTAAAAGACCTTTTATGTGATGAGATCATTTACAAATGACCTTCTGTTGTTAATTTGATAATGTTGTTGCCACAACAGTTAAATGCTTGATCATGCTTTTGATCGTCACTTTTCTGTTATTAGTCAGTTTGAAAAACCTGCTTGTTTTGAGACTTTTCTGTTAATTTGATAATGATCTTTCGTTTTTTCCAAATCTCACATTTTCAGACTTTAACCAACCTTTTGTGCAAATCTTTCAGTTTGCTTTCTGACTCATCCACAATTTACAATTTTGTAAGAACTAAGACATGATTTTATTTTCTGTTTTTTCAGGTCTTGACTGAAACAGACCATTGCTACTGTGTAATTCTCAATGCACACGATGGGGCAGCATTTCCGAGGGAAAAGGAGTCTAATGATTGCAGTCCTAGTGATAGTTCCTCTCTGACAGTTGAGACTAACTCCGCACAGATGAAAAATACTAAGGTTTCTTTCTAAATCTCTGTTTCACATGCCAGAACTACAATTAGAGATGAGATAGGTGAATGTCCCACGCATGCTTTTGCTTCAAGGAATACTCTGTAAACATTCTGATTTTCTGGTGTCATGATTGCAGCTGACTCTTTTTTCAGGATTCGTCAGCTATCAAATGGTTCGAGACGCATATGATGGTAAGATTTCATACAAATAACTTTATGTTGTTGTGCCATTAGATACAGTTTTCATTTCCCCTGCAACTGTTTGATGACTTCATGTGTTATCTGGTTTAAGTTGGTTGGAGTATAAAGTGTTTTCATTTCGTGGTATACATGCATAGTTGTTGGAACGTGATGTGTAAAAGTATTGCTGATTTGGATAAACTCACTAAATTTCTGCTGTTTCATTTAGATCTATTTTTTTTGTTCACGCTCATCTTATAAACCAGTTTGTTTCAAAATCCATTAAGACTGGGTTCCACACACACAACCACTATATTTTTTTTAACTTTGAACAATGCATTAAACATTTTGGGAACGCCATTTATTCATCTCTCAGCATCTTACAAGGGGATTTGGTGCAGCATATTGATTCACTCATCTCTCTGTCTCTCTTGCAGCTGGCAAGTCTCGATTTGGGAACCTTCTTGGTCATTCCCCTGGCAAAACAGACAAACTTTACATGAAAGGTCCCGGAGGACGTGGGGAAGTTGAAGTAGCGGTTTCTAGGGTTGCAGGCAAGGAATTTTTTCTCCAAAATTTAGTGACAGTATAAAGTTGAAGTAGTTGTTTTTCCTAAATTTTGTGTATTCATAATAGTTCAGATGGAAATTGATTATCATGTGACCCGCACTTCTTAAGTGATTAAAGATTTGAAAGGTCTAAAGAAAGCTATACCTGACAGTAGGAAATTCGTATGATTATTACCGTTATCTTGCATGCAAAGTTCATTGAGTTTCATGTGAGATTGTTACTCATGCCTGCTTTTGTTTTGTGACAAAGGTGTTACTATTATCAAATTTATTGACCCTATGATGTGAACATTTGTGTCAAATACTGAAAGTCGATGTTATGTTATCAGATCAAAGCCAACAAGATCTGGGTCCTTTTTCACCAGTTATATCCAAAAGAGGATTTGGAATTGGCTCCATTGTTCGTAAAGCAGCTTCTGTTGCATCTGTGGCTGCAAAGAATGCCTATGCAGCTGCTTCTTCTACCTATAGTTTTGATGATGAGATGGTACCTCTCAAATGCTGCTTAATGTCCATTTCATTACCCTGGGAACAGATTGCATATGATCTTCTCTTTAAGGTGAGTTTTTTGTTCCCAGTTGCTACTGAATATTTTAGGGTAATCGTAACTTGTGTAAGTGAGTATTGAAACAAAAACAGAAAAATAAAACCCGCAGTTAATCACTCCTTCCACGACTAAATTTTAGTCATCTTGTTCGTGAAACGCAGGGTACTCCTCCAGTGACGTTGTAAGCATAACATATATACTTCTCGCGGGCAATGAATACCATAGACGAGTCTATACACAGGCAACAGGAAAACATGGGACGAGCAGAGACATTTCACCGCCTGCGGTAAATGTAAGGGTAATCCAACTGTAGATGGAGACTCGTCTTGCTGTTTGTGTGTGCATCTGGTGGTGCCGGCTAAGGGCCGTCTGTAAATTGTATTGTAAAACATTCATTTCTTTTACAAGACGCGGCATCTTCACTATCAATGTACTTTCCAGGTTCAGTGAACAATAAGCTTTAGCTATATATAATATATTGGAGAGTGGAAGCACTTTGAATTCGCTACTTGTTCTTGCTGAATGGCTAGAGTTTCTTGTATGCCTAGAGTTTGATTTGTAATCATGCTTTAGAGTTCGGGCACATAGGATAGGGGGGATCTCTTGACTTTTGTAGCTTTTTAGGTTCCAATTCTTTTAGGACGGTTTAAGTACTATATTTTTGTGCCAATCACATGTACCTCCCGAGACTCAAATAATGGCGGGTCCAGAAATTGTTGGGGGTCATGAGTCCTCATGCCACTTTGTGGAGTTGTCCTTGCCTCCTTACCCTTGGCTCAGTCTTCGGGACAGAGATTCACTCTGGATCTCACCATGCGGAAAGACTGCGCAATTTGTACCACTTAAATTGAATTTGATTGTACCAATTAACTTATTCCACTAGCCCACCACCTCACACAAACCAAGGGTGCATATTTTCTTATCGTAGCTCCGAACAGGTTTGGAGAGGATCCAAATTCCAGTCTTTGTGAGGCATTTAGTTAAAGCAGCCATATTTCATGGATAACATTAAAGAAAGGGAAACCATTTCTCTTTTTTTCTACATTTTACTTAATTAATTATATATTTTTAGAGTTAAAAAATAAGTAAGGATGTACGGGGAATATTTTCATGTGTGTGAATCAATGGGGGTGAGGGAAATTGCAAACAAGGATGTGGATCCACTAGTGTTCTTGAATGTTTACATTCAGCACTTCTCATGCATTTATTGACACATGAAATAAAATAAAAAATTCACATTAAAATCTATAATTAATGTATGAGAAATCAGGAAAATCAGATCAGAGTGGTGAGGGTGGATAGAGAAATGGATTACGAGATATATATATATATACACACACACTAAAGGAAGGGGAGTTTGGTTAAGCCATATAATGAGCAGCCTATTTGGTATCAAATTCGCCATCCACGAGATTCAAACCTAAGATCTTTCATTTTCAAGTAAAGAGGAATACCATCAAACTGTAGTGCTGAGTGGCCGAAAAATAATGATATACGGTGCTGAATCCTATGAAACATGATGCTCATGTTGGTCTCTTGCAGTAAACTGGGATTCCAAGATTAATTAACATTCGAAAAAAGACAAACCGCAGCAGAATTTTATGATAAACACGGTTAAAAAAATAGGGGGAATCGATCAGGTTAATACTTTCCCAAAACTCTGCACCACAGCACATGAACCCTACTGTGGATTTGCCGATTTTAATGAGGCAGACTAAAGGGGAGAGGGGAGACAAACCTGATCAGTAATTAAGCTTTAGTAGTTAATATTTCATTGATTTGTATTTTTACAGGTTTTTTAAAGCTCAAAACGCATCAGAGAACGTGTGCATGTTAGGCTCCACTTATAATTTGGTCTGGATTTATTGGTCAGAGACGAACCCTTTTTCCCAAACGGCCAACTGAGAAAACGTCCAAGAATGCTAACTAAGAAAACTGCCTCGATTCCTTTTGCATAATTCTTAATGTATGTGAGTATTCTATTAGAAAATTCATGTCCTAGGAACAAAGAATAATGTGACAACCGTGATATGCTTTTTAGATCAGGTGATAAATGGAGAATGAGGGGTTTGAACACACGACTTTGATTGCAAAATTAAAGCTATTAACGACTTAAGTTATGCGACATTTTCCAAATGAAATATTCTTAGAAAGGCTTACTAATGCATCTCACATAGGTCTTATGGTTAATTGGGATTGCATATGCACTAGTCATTATCTGAATATGACGTTAAAGAACAACTATGTTGAGAAAACTTATCTCTATACTCAATTTTCTTTAGATTTCATCATATTCATCGACAATATTGATTGGTTTTAGTTGTAGAATAGAATCTCCATTTAAAGCTTAAACATTAGGATTCTAGTCTTAGATTGGTTAATCACTTTAGGAGCAAAATCTGACACAACCTAAAAACGGAGGTCAAAAAGGCTTATATACCCTAAATGAGATTAAAGTTAAGAAAAATATTAGGGTGTGTAAACCAAATGATGTGATTATTGAAGATTGAATTAATTATTAATCAAGTGTCGATTAATATGTCGATTTCTTATTGGTAAAACCATGGAAGAAAATATCCCGATATTATCGGTTTTTTCCCGAACCGATATTTTAAATGGTATCCAAGGTGTTTTCGTCATAATATCGCGATATTATCGATATTATCGCGAAATTTCGGAACTGTGCATGTCGGAGACGAACGCCGGAGCTTCTACAGCTCCGGCTGACTGTAAAACTGCCCCCTAGCCTCGCCGGAGATGGGTGTACTTATTCCCGAGTCGATTTCATCCCAAAAACCTTGCAAAAACACGACATACTTCAATTTCACATCTAAGCTTCGATCTAGAATATAAAAAGAAAAACCCGAAGCTTACCTACCTGAGAAATTGAAGGAACTTGCCGGAGCAGGTACGATGGTGTGCGTGTGGGTCTCGGTGCAGAGAGAAGAGAGATCTCTGTGTTAGTGTGTGTGGTTGGACTGGGAGAAGGGAGAAGAGAGATCGAGAGATCTCTGTGTGAGTGTGTGTGTGGTTGGACTGGGAGAAGGGAGAAGAGAGATCGAGAAGGATCTCTGTGTGAGTGTGTGTGGTTGGACTGGGCGAGAGAGAGAGAGAGAGAGAGAAACAGAGAGAGACCTTAACATACCACCCAAGGTGGACGGGTAGTGGACGGGAGACTTAAACAAACAAAACCATTGGCTTTGAAAGAGGTGAGGTGCACCTCTGATGGTTTTAATTTTTAATAAATGTTATATAAATTATAAATTATAAATTATTTAGATAATATTTTGTTTTTTTTTTTTACTAAGCAAGCAGATTATATTCGAACCCTCCCTTTGTCAACCACGCACTTGGGCTTTATCCAACTCGCTACAGATGTGTTTGTGATTACATATTCAGCCTGTAATATTTATATGGTCGTTAAGATGTCTGCAAGGCTTGCAAGCTAATATTTATTATCTATGATAAATTTCTATATTTTAAAAACACCAAGGTGAAAATTTTGAACCTCATAGGAACTCTATGTGGTACTAAGTCACTCATGTATCTTACCATGCAATGTATAAAGTGTAAAATATTGTACTAATTCATTATATATAAATGATTATGGTGTGTTTAGACTTCTTTCATTAATTACTACATATTTTATACACTCACAATGTTTGTCAGCTCACTATATAATCAACTTGATAATGTTAAATTCATCATGCAATGCATTTCCTTCCAATTTTTTGTGATAAACTAATAGATAATTGACTAAATAAACATCCTGCAAAGTTTCAATAAAAATTTCCAAGTTTTTCTTACAATTTCCGTGGTTTCCATGTAATTTTTATCGATATCGATATTATCCCGATATTTCCATCGATATTTCCGTGTTTTCGGACTACCGATATTTCCGATATTACCGATATTTTCTTCATTGGGTAAAACATCATTTGATTTACAAATTTAATTTAAAATTTTAGTTTCTCTAACATTACTTAAAATATTATTATAAATGTGACTTTCTAGAAACGTTCCGCCTTTCAAACGCTAAGACCGCATATACTTCACATTTATCATGAGATCGATCGAAGATGTTGATTGATTTTTACAACATATCAATATTCGATAACTAGACTGTATATTTTTCAGAAATTTTCGCACACACACGTATATATATTGAGAGAATCAAATCATCACCTTCTCAATTGCGTATTCCATACGTCTTCTGCGTAATTTCTCGGCTAAACTTTCAGATAATCTGTTGTTTACACATTTTTGTTTGATTCTTCGTGATTAAGCTAAAGCTAACATTGTGTTGGAGCCCACCTGAACAAAGCAGAAACCCTCCGACCACACACCACCATTACCATTGCCCTTTACACAAAAGTTGTGCACGTAATGGCACTACACCAACCCTAAATATTATTTAATTTAAAATAAAAATATATTAGTTCTATGTTAACACGTACTTTTCTTGGACAAAATTACCCTCACTCCTCCAAAACTTTTGCATAGGGTGGATCCCATGTGCATCCTTTCCTTCGATTATAAATACTCAACCCCTCCTCTTCGTTCCTTCCCTTTTCTCCTCCTTCCCTCCTCCCCTCCCCTTCACTCAAATGATGATGAGTTCTTCAGCCATGTCCTTCATCCATGAACCGGCCGACATGGGCCGCTTCGAGTGTCCGGTTCAAGAAACCGTGCTCACAACAGCCGAGATTCAGGAGCTACTGTCCTTGCTTCAAGCAGGGAACTCGGCCTCCCCAAGCTCAGAGGGGTCGAACCGGGAGGTCGATACAGTTGACGAGAGAAAGCGTAGGCGGATGACGTCAAACCGCGAGTCAGCCCGGCGGTCCAGGTGGAGAAAGAAGAGGCATTTAGAGGACCTGACGAGCGAGGTGGACCGGTTGAAAATAGAGAACCAGGAGCTGAAGAACCGTTTGGGGCTGGTTGCTCAAAAGTGTCACGTATTATGGAGAGAAAATGACCGGATGACATCCGAGTCCTTAGCACTACGTGCAAGACTTTCGGATTTATACCGGATTTTGATTGCCATGCAGACGCAGTACTCACAATAATTATTAAATATTTCCACGTCTAATCCATTTATAAAAAAAAAAATCCCGAAATTAGCAAAATGATCATCATTAATAAGCTTAATGAAGATTAATTAGAGGAAAGGTCAAAAAGTTGTATGGTTTTGTGGGGTACATTAGGCTGCATGCACGCTCAGTGTGTCACTGAAAATGACGGTTAAATTGTCTTTTCGGTTTTACTTTACTTTTGGGTTCTCGTTGTCGATCGGGGGAGACTTTCTTTTTAGTAGCTTTGTAAGTACTGAGAGCAGCACGTAATCATGTCTACATATGAGAGAGATGCCGCAAGGAGAGGAATCTGTGCAAATTTTTCTCCGGCAATATTTCTTAGGCCTTTTAGCTTTATCACCATGCATGCTCGACCGGGCTTGGCGCTTCGTGTAAATATTTGTATTGAAGAATATTTATGTAGTGAACTTGAGGC